ATAAAAGCTGACGTTTCGAGCGTTAGCCCTTCGTCGAAGCGAAGGGCTAACGCTAGACGAAGGGCTGACGCTCGAAACGTCAGCTTTTATTATCGTAACGGTGGCCAATTTACCATTTCAACTCTTTTGAGTAACGTTTCGTGTTGTTTGCATCAAATCGCGCCTTTCATAATGAGCTATATGGTCGTTGAAGATTTAGATATTTTAAGGGATTGAAGTCTGAATCCACATCATACCAACAAAGGCGTATTACAATAATTTGGCTTTATCAGCTGAGTTGATAATATAAATTGGCTACAGTAAAAAGTTTCAAAGCTGACGTTTGGAGCGTAAGCCCTTCGTCAGAGCAAACAGAAAGCTACATATGATGTACGATCCTCGCAGTAGATACATCGTATGTATCTAATACCGCAGTTCAAAATATATGAACTTCATATATTTCATTGTATCTCAAACAGAAAGCTCTTACGCAAGGGCTAACGCTCTTAAGGTCAGCTTAGATACTATTTACGACGGCTCATTTACAAGAACTCAGTTGATAAATCCTATTGATTTGGCAAGTTTGTCGCCTCACTATGACGACGTCATGGCCCAGCTGAGCCATACCACGATCACATTCCCTTCGCCGAACTTCCTATTAGTGGTGAACTGTGGACAAAGCTTCCAAAGAAGTGCGAAGAATGAGAAAATATCAGTAGCAATAAATAAGACATCAGTAGCAATAAATAAGACATCAGTAGCCATAAATAAGACATCTGAAGAATGCTGCATAGATAACCAACTGAGTAAAAGCTTGGCTAAAGATTGTGAATGCAGTTTATTACACATCAGACTCTAGAGACTATTTGAATGGTTATGATATAAATAATACAAAGCAGTCCTCTGAGGGAAAATATGCGTCTTCCTTTCATAGCTCATAGCATAAATGTCTTCACATAGCATGTTTCAGGTGTTCGAAAACCAGAGCGTTACCGGCTTTTTGTTACTTTTTTACTTCTATCCTCTCTGTATAAAGCTGAAAACAATTTAGGGAAATTAAGCCATGTTCATCTTCGTTGGGTGCAATCTAGCTTTTCGAGAAGCTCACTGAGTGCTTTGGTTATATTTTCGGCTAAATTTTCACTCCACTATCTGAAGAGTTTGTCTTCTTCTTTCCCGAGCCCTTGTCACTTGAAATTCTTTCATCGGACTCGTAGTTATCATTGGTGTAGGATGGTTCGGGTTTCTTGAATGTCACCAATGACTGCCTCTTCTTAAATTTCTTCTCTTTATCGTCAATTAAGTCTGGTGCTACCTTCTCCAAAAGTCTTTTTAGTTCCATTAAGTGTTGCTCCCGCTATAGAAGGAAGAAAAATTTATCCAAAATTATACAACAGAGTAGAGGAGACAAGTGAATATTACCACCACCATCGGAAGTGCTGTGTTGAATAGCAAAATAACCGGCACACAGAACATATTATATCATGTAGAACATTTTAGACAATTTACCGAAGGCTGATCGTTAATTAAACAGTCAAAACTAGCCCCTCCGATGGTTATTTCTGTTAGGCGATACAGCCGCTTCGCTTTAGTTGCTGGTGATGCTTAGAACTTCTAAATATTTTTGAGTGAGCTTTATCCTTTGGAAGAAATTATCTGGAAATTTAATGTTGTTAATACTAACCTCAGACAACTGTTTCTTTAGTTTGGAGTTCTCCATGCTAATATTCACTGCATTCTTGTCCAAGGTTGACAGAGAATCTGGATTATTAGCAGTACTTTTGTGTGTGTTGCTAGCCTCGTTTCCACCGTCTGGTGAACACAGCTGTAGAACCTAACATGAATGATTCAAAGGTTATCTGTATCATTCAGGGAATACATGCATGTTGTTGATAGTAATACGTCCCCTTTAGCTTTTTCCCTTGCCCGCGCGGGGCTGGGTTATATATACATGATATGGTGTAGACCATGTGTTCGCAAGTTAGTTGTTTTGCGCTAACAAATTTCGTAAGTAGTATCTCGATTCATTTTACTTCGTTTAGTTTCCTTTATTCAGATCTCATTATTTTCCTTGCTTAGTCAAACCAGATTATACAGATTGTACGAGTCGCATTAGACAGATTCTGCAGATTGCGCTAGTCAGATCAAGTCAAACTTTTATCTACATATGTAATCACTTATGAGGGATCAGAGAATCACAACAGCAGCTCCCTTTTCTTTATTAAAGAAAGGAAAAGAGAAATAACACTATACATTCTCTCTCTATTTCTTTGTAAACCTACTGAAAGCTGCATCTTTATACCTTCAGAAACGTTCTTGATCCAGTGTCAATCCAGCATCCCGTTTTCCAGGTTTATAGCTATTAGGTCGTGACTGTCCTTTACTCGCAGTTATATTTACGATCTACAGCATAAGAATAGGGACGTAGCTGAGGTGTTGTTAAATGTTGTTTCAAACATACCTTTGGCACGAATACGAAGCAGAGGGTCAAAGTGGTGCAAAAAATGATGAATACAGCTGTTATGGCAAACGTTGCATCCTGGTGATCTCGAATAACAGAGGTAATAGCCACTCCAAGAATAGAAAGTATCACAACATTATAAACAGACATCCCTAAAGGAGAAGAGGAAAATAAAAAGAAAAAAAGCACATTAACAGGAATAACACTACAATATCCGTCATTAATTTGTTTATTCATATATTTTGTCGACTCATCGTGTTGCTTTATTTCGATACATATATCTTATTAGACGTTTTTTTGTGGCGTATCGCTGAGTATTTTTTACGAGTTGTGCCGTATTTTGACGAGCCCGTAAGGCTCGTCAAAATGCAAATAACAAGTATAAATACTAAGCAATACGACACAACAAAACGTTTAATAAGTTACTTATCATCCAACACGCCAAATTGTTATTTCAGTGCAGCGAATTTCGCGGATATTTGTTTACAGAGGGTGCGAGACGAGAGTATGCAAAGCGGAACGAAATTAGCGCGTTGTCGTGTTGCTGTTTCTATCTTCTTTAATAAATGATGAAATTTCATTGTTGTCTAACTGCTTTTCTTCGTTCAATTTATCCAATAAACTTGGATCATAATAAGTAGTTTCTTAGATATCGACTTTGAAATAAAAGCTAGCGCTAAGAAGTCACGACGTTTCGACCTCTCTGAGGTCATTTTCAATAACAACAACAACAACAACAAGTGAGTAAGTTTTCACGTGTGTAAATTTTCCAAATCAGCATAAATATGTAGAAGCAAGTTGAAGGCGATAAGATGTGGCGAACACTAAAATATGTGAAAAAGTGTAAACAATATACAATGGAAGAGAATAAAAGAATAAAGGAATAAAATAATAAAATTATCGTAGCACAAATTGCTCTAAACAAATAGTTTGTTCTAAACAAATAGTGATGTCTTCTGGATCCATGTCGTATGTCGTGCTGTTCTCTGAGGTGGTGTCCGATTGCCGATCCTTTGTGTTCTTCAATTCGTTGGTGTAAGTGTCGACACGTGTAGTCGACATAGCCTTGTCGGCTACACGCTTTATTCTTTTATTCTCTTTCATTGTATATTGTTTACACTTTTTCACATATTTTAGTATTCGCCACATTTTATCGTCTTCAACCTGCTTCAACATATTTATGCTGATTTGGAAAACTTACTCACTTGAAAATGACCTCAGAGAGGTCGAAACGTCTTGACTTCTTAGCGCTAGCTTTTATTTCAAAACTTGGATCAATATTCGCCAGCCATTCCGACTCCTCATCCACAGAAAAATTACTCAAATTTTCCGCCATTTTTTTTTTCTTCAATCCAATTCGTCGCATGCGCAATGCGAGAAAACCTGCCTAACCGGTTCTCTGGAGTTCAAATACCGCGAGATATTTGTACTCGTCTTGGGCGTTAATTTTACTCTAAGAAGCACAGTTGGATGATAAAAGGTGTTACTTGGAAAATCTTAAATCATTCGTATTGAAGTGTTTTCATGACTGGAACATAGCATGTTTTAACCACACAGTCTACAGAAAAGATATCAAATTTAGAATTACTCCTATGCTATTGCGAAATCTTTTGACAATGGATCGCTGCTGGTACAAAATCCAGTTTAGTAAAAGAAAAACTCCTTGTTTACCTTTTCAGCAAACATTTTCGAGTGGCTTCTACTTCGATATTTCCATGGGTAAGTCAGCTAAAGCAGTACTTACCGATGTAACGCGAGTCGTTCAAGGCTGGTATTGTGACGGCGCGTGTTTCCCACGCAAGAAAGACTCCAAAGACCAGTAAGAGGCCTTTGAAAGCATACACAGCTCCCAGCCAATAAGAAAGGTTCTTCGATTCACAATGCTCCAGCCTAGGAATTATTTCCTTATCGTCCTTTAATTGCATCTAATTAATGTGAGAAAACCATGCGTTTAGTTTAACCAAGAGAATATAATATGTGCCGCGTAAGACAAATAATATTCTAAAGGAATATTTTTATTGTTCAACATCTTAACAAAAACATCGCGCATTTCAAATTTGTCATTTCAAATCAGATGATTTCGAGTGCAATTTGGAATAAATAAGCACGAGTGAATTTTTTCAAAGACTTACAAAATTGCATGAGCCCGTAGGGCGAGTGCAATTTGTGGTCTTTGAAAAAATTTACAAGTGCTTATTAATTCCAAATTGCACTCAAAATCAAGTGATTATGTATTAATAATATACATGAAAAAATACGTGGTAGCTTCTCATAACTATGCAGAAGAAAAGCGCGCGTATCACGTGCAAAAATAATTTATTCAAACTCTGCAAGTGACATTGACCTTGACATTGACCTTGACATTGACCTTGACATTGACCTTGACATTGACCTTGACATTGACATTGACATTGACATTGACATTGACATTGACATTGACATTAATCAATCATTCTGACAAACCAAAATGTTTGGTTTGTCTCTTTCTTTGCACTGAGTTAACCTTCTTCTGCACTTAATTACTCTCTTCTGCAATGAATTACCTGAAAACTGCATTTATTTTAACCAATCAGAACTGGGTAAGTTTTTCTTGCATATTATTAAAAATTAAACTGAATCGTCTGTATGGGAAGATCGTCTCTGACCCTTTCGCGCCTAAGACAAATTTCACTTGAAGTATGGCAAACTACAAAGAATGGATCTCAATTTCACAAATGAGCCTCCTTCTTCTTCGTCTTCCTCTTACTCCTCTTCTCTCGTTCTTTTTTTATTTTCCTGTTGCTTCTTTTCTTTCAATTTTTTATCACTTTCTCTTTCGATCCGACTCACTAAATGAACTCCAATGCTGACAGTAAAGACGATAAATAAAGGCAAATAAAGACTCAGGGAGCATGAGAAGAAATATTTTCAGAATAATTTGCTCATTCACATATGGTTACTTCTACTACAATTACCCTAGATTGTGGGGCAACTATACCACACCTCGTCAATAAATCTTTGATAGCCGGTGTGCATTGGCTCAATCCCACTCCACAAAGACAGGAGAAGAATATCTAACAACACAATGGCTCCAATTATCAGGAACAAATGCTCGTC